TTAGATCAAAGTTGTAATTTCTTCGCAATGGATTTAAAACGCGCACTCGTTAGGGACGAGTTTGGCGTGACGCTTGTGTCATATGCCTTATCCGATTTTTATAAATCTATATCACTTTTATCACTGTTAAAACATTAGCTAATTCTTACTCTTTGTCCTTTTTTCAATTCGAATCTTTGTTTGATGTTGGAGCGAGACGGGTAGATCTAATTAAAACTTTTAAGACGCAGTTTCTTATGCAACAGCGACTAAAGTTACTTAAATATTGGAATTTTACCAATGAGAAGAGATTTACGTTAATTCCCTCTTTTTTAATGACACCTCGCGACTAACCTCGTTTGCTTCTTTGTATTTGACGCAAACGGGCGTAAAAAACGCCAGGGGCCCGCAGGGGTTTGCGCGAGGACCTCGTGTATTTGTCATGTAGATAACTTACATGCACGCGGAAAATGCATAAACTTATCAAGTGTTTAGGCAATCTTTTTCGAAATTTATTTTAATTTGTCTTTATCGATCGGTTTTATACAATTGAGGATTTCGATCCGGCTCCACAGTACCAAAAAAAGTAGATTCCTTTGGATTTTTTGAAGCAAAAACACTTCCTTGTAATTGTATAGGATCGCTTGAAATGGTCTTGTAGTCCTAGGTAACTCGGGAATAATTTCAAATTAAAAATTCAAAAAACCTTTGTTTTCAAAGCTTGTTTTTTTTATTTTTAACACTTACATTGCATGGTACCACTTGGAGGGGAAAACTGACAAACTCCTGAAATTTTTCCCAGATTTTAATTTCCTTTATAAGCCTGCAAAAGACGTTAAGCGCAATCAGTTTTCATGCACCTCAAAATGTATCCATGTCTTTAATGAGTGTTTAATGATTAAGAGCCTTTAAGGGATTTCAAAGGTGTTTAATGATTCTCAATAGGTTTCAAAGAAGTTTTAGGACTGTCCTAGACAGGTTTTATTGATTCTTAAGTATTTTAAAGAAATCTTAAAAGTCTCCCAGAAACTTTAAGGGGTCTTTCAGAGCCTTCAATTGTCTCTCCAGCCTTTGGATGACCTAAGCAGCCTTAACAGCTTTAAATATCCGAATTACAAAGAGCTTTTACGACCGATGTGGATTTAAAGGTATTTCAGTAATTAAGAGCTTTTAATGGTCACCAATTGTAAGAGTTTGCAAAAGTCTCTCAGAGTCTACAGATCTTGCAAATGTAAAGGATATTACAACTTCCAAAAAAGAGGGTACCGTGAGCCTTTTGAAATCTATAGACATTAAGAGTCATTAATACGGTTTTAAAACACGGGTTAAGAGGGCTTCAATTTTTTATGAGTCGCAAAGAATTTCCAAGGCTTTTCCAGGAGCTTTTATATTGAAAAGTTAAGCCTCTAAGTGCTTTTTTGACTCTTTGAGGGATTTTAAGAGTCTTTTAGAGGGTCTAAGGAAGCTTAGTCTTTTTGGGACTGATAGCGTTTGTTGGTCTTTATTTCTAAAGGTCTTTAACAACCTGTGAGAGGTCTATTGGTTTTTCAGGGTATACCTATTTGAGAACTTTCATGTGTCACCAAATAAATGTTTTCTCTTCAAAAGTTTTTAATTGCCTCCATAGCTCTTTAGTGGCCTTTAGAGTCTCTGTCAGACCTTTGAGGGCTTTAGAAGGGCCTTAAAGAGTTTAAAAGTTTGTATCAGGAAAGCATAATACGTCACATCCAATTATTTTTTTGCAAGAATACTGAGGGAGTATCCCGGACTCCTCGGTGCTACGCTCCCCCACAAAACATTGAGCGCGAAGAACTGTTGTGGTAGTTTTCCATATGGGACTATAAAATTTGAGAGGTATTCTATAATCCAAAATATCGTGGTCTTAGTTTTTATGGTCCATTTTCAAAAACTATGGTGGTTTAGTATGTGCACTTTCCGATTTGGAAAAGGGTGTAGAACCGGGGGGTCTGGGGGGTATGGAATACCCCCCAGTATACGAAGATCTTGTGACAGTTGTAGGAGAGAACATTAAAACGTTCTTCCATGAGAGGTATTCCATTCAATGTTCTCTTCCCTATAAGTTATAACTATTCTATGGTAAGTCTTTGTATACTGGGGGGTATTCCATCCCCCCCAGAACTACGCTCCCTCACAAAACATTTATTCCGAAGAACTGTTGTGGTAGTTTTCCATATGGGACTGAATCTGAGAGGTATTCTTCTTAGTTTTTATGGTCCATTTCCAAAAATATGGTAGTTTAGTATGTGCACTTTCCGATTTGGAAAAGGATGTAGAACCGGGGGGCCTGGGGGGGATGGAATACCCCCCAGTATACGAAGATAATGTGACAGTTGTAGGAGAGAACATTAAAACGTTCTTCCATGAGAGGTATTCCATTCAATATTCTCTTCCCTATAAGTATAACTATTATATGGTAAGTCTTTGTGTACTGGGGGGTATTCCATACCCCCCAGGCCCCCCGGTACTACCCTCCCTCACAAAACACTTATCCCGATGAACTGTTGTGGTAGTTTTCCATATGGGACTGAATCTGAGAGGTATTCTTCTTAGTTTTTATGGTCCATTTCCAAAAATATGGTAGTTTAGTATGTGCACTTTCCGATTTGGAAAAGGGTGTAGAACCGGGGGGTCTGGGGGGTATGGAATACCCCCCAGTATACGAAGATCTTGTGACAGTTGTAGGAGAGAACATTAAAACGTTCTTCCATGAGAGGTATTCCATTCAATGTTCTCTTCCCTATAAGTTATAACTATTCTATGGTAAGTCTTTGTATACTGGGGGGGATTCCATACCCCCCAGAACTACGCTCCCTCACAAAACATTTATCCCGAAGAACTGTTGTGGTAGTTTTCCATATGGGACTGAATCTGAGAGGTATTCTTCTTAGTTTTTATGGTCCATTTCCAAAAATATGGTAGTTTAGTATGTGCACTTTCCGATTTGGAAAAGGATGTAGAACCGGGGGGCCTGGGGGGTATGGAATACCCCCCAGTATACGAAGATAATGTGACAGTTGTAGGAGAGAACATTAAAACGTTCTTCCATGAGAGGTATTCCATTCAATATTCTCTTCCCTATAAGTATAACTATTATATGGTAAGTCTTTGTGTACTGGGGGGTATTCCATACCCCCCAGGCCCCCCGGTACTACCCTCCCTCACAAAACACTTATCCCGATGAACTGTTGTGGTAGTTTTCCATATGGGACTGAATCTGAGAGGTATTCTTCTTAGTTTTTATGGTCCATTTCCAAAAATATGGTAGTTTAGTATGTGCACTTTCCGATTTGGAAAAGGGTGTAGAACCGGGGGGTCTGGGGGGTATGGAATACCCCCCAGTATACGAAGATCTTGTGACAGTTGTAGGAGAGAACATTAAAACGTTCTTCCATGAGAGGTATTCCATTCAATGTTCTCTTCCCTATAAGTTATAAGGGAGAGGATGGTAAGTCTGAGAGGTATGGGATACCCCCCTCCCTCCCCCAGTACAGAAAACTTCAATGATCATTCCCTAGAATCATCATTATCGCCATGAGAACATTGTATACACACAGAAATATACTATTCGTATATTAGGGGGTGTTCCATAGCCCCCAGACCCTCCGGTGACACGTTCGATATGACAACTTTCGACAAAATGTCATTGGAGTGGTGAGGGAGGCGGTTTTGGGGAGGAGTCTGACAAACATATCCTCTTGAAGTCAGTGTCAGAATTATCTTTTGATGACGCCATGCGGACATTTTATTTGGCTTCTGCACTTGCAATAACGATGGGACACCCTGTATACGTGCATTTTTAACGTTAAAAGTTGGTTGTAAAGTGGGATTAAGCTCAATTCCAATCATATTATTCGCATTCTAGGTCAATTTTGTTTTGTATCAGAATTATTAGTTGTTAACAATCACCTTGTAGGTATTTTATTTTCCCAAGGGTTTTTTAGAATTTGGAATCGCCTTTTCTTCTCCTACTTCTTTAACATCATATCATCTGGAAATGTTATTATTTATAGATTCTTTTCGAATCTTCTTCAAGTTTTCTTAAAGATCTTCTGCTCTGCTTCTTTCTTAATTGTCTTAGACTGATTTTGGAATTTTTGTGTTTCTAAGCTTTTTAATGGGCATGATTCAGATGTTCGATTCTTATTCTTATTCTTGGACGATTTGGAATTCTCGAGAGTATATTGTGAAACCGTCGCGAAATCGTCTTCGAATTTCAACGAAGCCTTTTTGGAAATTGCGGAATTCTTTTCATCGCCTAAAGAGTCCTGGAGAAGCTTTAAAAATTCTGCATTTTTGATTACCGAATCTTAAAATGGTTTTCCGACAGAGATCTTGGACTGTTGACGTTTTGAATTTCAACTTGCGAAGACCTGCAGGGACCGTTGCTTTGTGGAAGCCACCCGATCCAAATGACTAATGCGATTTTGGAAGTCGATTTCGAGGATTTTCTTTGTTTTCGACGTCTTTTGTTTTAATCGCGTTTATTATTCGATTAAGCGATTACTTTTTACAATAAAACGCTCTATTTTTAGGCGGAAAATTGGGTAGATTTGTGCCACCCCCTTCTCTCGGCGATCGCCTCGGGGGCCCCACCTGGCGAAAAACAAAAGAGTAAATAGATAAAAATCCGCTTAGCGAAATTGAGATGCGCACTAAGAAATGCATTTCGAGGATTTTCTTTGTTTTCGACGTCTTTTGTTTTAATCGCGTTTATTTTCGTATTAAGCGATTACTTTTTACAATAAAACGCTCTATTTTTAGGCGGAAAATTGGGTAGATTTGTGCCACCCCCTTCTCTCGGCGATCGCCTCGGGGGCCCCACCTGGCGAAAAACAAAAGGACGAGTAAATAGATAAAAATCCGCTTAGCGAAATTGAGATCCGCACTAAGAAATGCATAAGTCTATTTTATATACATACACTTAATACAGTAGACATTCGTCTTTGTTTGGTGCATCGTTGAAATGCATTTCTCTCACTTTTCCTTATGCAATTTCTGCGTCCCCACTATTTGCAAGCCGCCTTCGATTCTAAGTGCAGCTTTCTTACAACTAAGATGCTCAAATGTTTCTTAAACTCTAAATCATAGATAAGTACGGGAAAATGGACGCAATTTTCGGCACGGCTACGAGAGGCGCTAAAAAAATTGAAAATTTTCCCGAAAGTTCCTCGTGAGCGAGAAGTGCGAAACCTTTGAGGTTAAAGTGCGGGTGGTGCGAAAATGTGCGGGAATGAACTTGAACCTCGTCTTTAATTGGTTAGTGATAAATATTGAAGTGATAACAGCGGTCCTCCCCCTCGACCATTTTTTTTTCTCTCGCCCCGAATTTTCGACGTAGTAGGCGCCGCCGACGTGATTCGCACGCGTATGTAATTAGAGGCATAAATTTGCATAATTTGCGATGGTAGAGAAAAATTTGCGAAAAAAATGGCTTCTACAAATATTAGATGAGGCAATTTGTACCGATGGCGATAAAAATAGATTGTTTGCTCGGCCATCTTAAATTTTATATTAAGAAGATGAAAAAAAAATTACCGATTTCCGCAATTCTGCCGCCCCCCGCCCCCTCCGCGCGAAAATTCGCCACCCCGCTTGGTATGGCTTATCGCGCCGAGGAAATTTTCCGTTTTATCAATTTTCGAATCGAAATGGTGAAAGGATAGCGTTAACGCGTTTAACGCTATCAATAATTATTTCCACTAATCTTCTAAATGGGGTAATTTTTTTAAAAATTCTTTTATCAGATAGATAAAATGGTTTCAAGTTCACATGAGAAATTTTTGCAGTTCGAGTGCCTCCGCGATGCAGTTTAAAAAGGGATCGGTTTCGGTAAGATTTTTCCTTTGTGAATTTTGTCGCTTTTCACGGCCATTAGGGGTTCCGAAAAATTGGGGGCGAATCCTTTGTTTCGCGTGAATTTTTCAAAGATGCCCAACCGTCAATTAATTGTCACGATTCCGCATTAACGCGCGTAAACTCACCCCTACGATTATTATTGTTTCGGGAATGAATTTTTCGCATTTCGCCCGGGGCAAAAGAATTCGCCTGCCTTTCGCCTCATTAGCTGTAACGGAAAAACCGCTTTGCTTTTTTTAATTCAACAGAAGGTAGGAGCTTTTGATTTATTTCAGTAAAGCACAATTTGCTAAATCATTTAGAAATTTTGCAGCAAATATTCAGCCATTTTGTTTACTTCACGAGAAATTTGGATGATTTAAATTTAACACATTCCTATTAATTTTTTGAATTAATTTATTAATTAATTAAAAAATTTGATCCAAAAGGATCGTTATGTACTTTTGAGAGCTGGTTAAAACGATGAGACTTTTTAAAGTTTGAAGAACCTTAATTAAGTGAAAAATTGAGCTCTGGAAATCTAGTACGCGTCTAGCAAATAATTATTTCGCGTGAAGAAGGCTAAATTTAAGAAACAGGCACCTACGTATTGCCTATCAATGAAGTAGGTAGTAAAATAATCAGAATTAAAAAATATCGAACAATTGAATAACCGCAGATTATTACCTAATTAAGAGATTTGATCTTTAATTTTTGAAAGCTGTATCTGAGTAGCTATCAAGTAGCAACTAGTTACTTAGATATTTCGCGTGAAGAAAGTCAAATTAAAGAAACTTTCGTGCTGAGTTTCTAATTAAAAAAGTAATTAAGCAGTAAAATAATACGATGAAATAAATAATTCAAAATTAAGTTTTAAAAAACTTACCTAATAGGAGGGTTCGAGCTTCTTTAATTTAACCTTCTTCACGCGAAATAACTATTGGCTAATTAAAACGGACCCCCAATTTTCAAAAATTAAAGATTCTCCTAAAGGTTGCGCATCTAGAGATCCATTTATCATAAAATTTCTTTATTAGTTAATTTAGGTAATTATTTAAAATTAACTTATTCAACTTATTATTTCCAAACTTTGTTTAATTTTCGTTTTTATTAAACAATCAAAATAGCAATTGAGCAGTTTATTTTTCTATTAAAATTTCATTTTTTATGTAAAATAATGAATTTATTACAGCTCTCAAAAATAAAAAAATCTCAAACTAGGATGCAGGATTCGATTTTTTTACTTAATTTTGAATTATTCAATTTGTCATATTGTTTTACTACTAAATTTTTCAATTAGGAAAATCCGAGGCAAAATCGGTACGGAAATTCAAGTGACCACGCGAAATAGTCACACACGGCTTTCATAAATTAAAAATCTCAGAAAGAAATTGCGCCTAGAGCTCGATTTTTGATCAAATCTCTTAATTAGTTAATTAACTAACCTGGTTATTCAATTGCAGCACATATAATTCCATTTTTAAAATTCTGAATTATTAGTTCCGATTATTTTACTGCTTCATTTATTTTTTAATTAAAAGTTCTTTCAATTTAGCTTTCTTCACGCGCAACTTGATAACAAACCATAACCATAACCAAATTTTGTAGTTAATAAATTAGTCTAATTATTCAAGTAGTTTAATTAAAATAATATGAAACTGCCGGATTTGTTAATTTACTGTTTCTCTTAAACTATGTTTAACCTTTATTTTATTAATGAAATCAATATACCTATGGAAATCCAGTTTTTTTGTTTTATTGTTTTTTAATTGGAATTTTTTATTTTTAAACAGATTATCTATCTTACAAACTAAAAATTAAGAACCTTCAAACTGGAGTACAGAAATCCGTAAGTCTGAATTATTAAACCCTTTTCAGTATTTCAGTATAATTCGTTTTTTAATTAAAGAAGTCGTTACGAAGTTTCTTCAACGTGACCTTTTTCACCCAGCTCGCAAAAAAATAAAAGATTCCCGAAAAAGGTTGCATGCAGAGCTCGATTTGTGATTAACTTTCTTAATTAATTAGTGAATCTGACATTAAATTACTTAAAAAAATATGAAGCTGCAAGTTTCTCCCTTAAAAAAAAATGTAAAAAAGGTGAATTCTCGTAAATTCTTTAGTGAGAAGTTTTAATTTTTAAAAAACACAATACAAACATAGTTTAAGAAGTAATAAATTGCAGAAATTTTTTAATTAAAGTAGCAGCATAATCATTAGATTAATTAATTAATGGGTGCTTTTGAATACCTGTTGCTTTTCACATATTTCCCGTGAAGAACTTGAATACTCTTATTGACTTTTTTTAAATTAAAGAATTATATGAATTAGGTTACCTACATAATTAGATTAATTAATCTAGAAGGTCAAATTGAATTTTCGTACTGACTTTCCTAATTAAAAATTAAGTAGTAAAATAATACGATGAATTAAATAATTCAACATTTCTTTAATTTATTATTTGTTGAACTATGGTTTATTTTAAAAAAATCAATATAGAAATACAGTGTTTTTAATTTACTTATTTTCTAAATAAAATTTCTTATATTAGGTGAAATGAAAAATTTATTGCTGTCTGCAGCTTTATCTCTAAATTGGGGTGAAGAATCCGATTTTTTGACTTAATTTTGAATTATTTAATTTATCGTATTATGTTACTCTTTAATTAATTTGTTTAATTGGGAAATTACGAAAATTCAAGTTTCGTCAAATTGTGGCGCATTATTCGATTTTTTTTTAATTCTGACTATTTTACTACTTAATTTAATTTGTAGTTTAAAAAGTCAATACGTAGGTTCAAGCTTCTTTAATTTAACCTTCTTCTCGCGAAATAATTCTTGGCTAATTTATACGCACCCCAGATCTCAAAAATTGAAGAACAATTTATTATAAAATTTCTGAATGAATTAATCTAATTATTTAATTTAAAAAAGTCAATAAGACATACCCCGCCCCCCCCCCTCAGCAAATGAAAAAGTCGATTGATTTTTTTAATAAAAAAAAGTTAAGCAAGTAGTAAATTGAAGAGACGTTTTAATTATAGAAACACAATAATTAAATTAATAATTGAGAAATTTGATCAAAAATTGAATGCTGAATGCAACCTTTTTGGAGGATCTTTAAAGTGATTGAGGAAGGGGTGCGTATCGTGTAGGTAGCGGCAAATAGTTATTTCGCGTGAAGAAGGTTACATTAAAGAAACTTGAACCTTTGTATTCATTTCTTGAATGAAAAGCGAATTAATTAATTAAGAATGGAACTCTGCAAGCTAATCTCAAGGTTTTCAGTTAAGCTATAAGAAGTGCCCAATTTTTTTTAATTAAAAAAAAATAAATTGGTGACACTAGATTTCTACATTAATTGTTTTTACTTAGATTAAAAAGATTGAACGTAGTTTTCAGGCATAATAAATTGAAAAAACTTCCAGTATCATACTTTTTAATTAAAGAATTATCAGATTAATTAATTCGTTAATTTCATAAACAAAAGGAGTACTAGAGGCAACCTTTTTCGAGGATCTTTAATCTTTGAAAGCTGAGTGTGTGTATCAAGTAGCAAATAGTTATTTCGAGTGCGTAAGGTTAAATTTTAAAAAACTGGAACCTTCGTGTTTACTTTTTTTAAATAAAAAAATAAACTAAAAACTGAAACTTTTTTAAGTAGTAATTTTATTTATTTCACTTAAAAATGACTAATCCTAATTTAAAGAAAATAAATTGACACTCAAGAAATGGCCATCCATTCTTTCTTTGCTGGGGGGGGGGGGGGGGGGGTATTTTATGCTCCCCAGACTACCGGGTGCTACGTCTGCACTACTTGCAACATCATTTTCAAGAAATGGCCATCCATTGTTTCTTTGCTGATGGGTATTCTATACCCCCCAGACCCCTCGGTAGCACCTTCATCTACAAAACATTTACCCTTCAGGACTCACGTGGTAGTGCTAGTGTCAGAGCACGAATTATCAGATCCTGTCTTCCTAGGAAGTGCTACAGAGGACGTAGCACCAGGATGTCTGGAATACCCCAAAGTACACACTGAATTTTTAATTAGATTTGACTTTTTTTAATTAAATAAGTAAATTAATTAGATTAAATAAGTAAATTAATTAGATGAAATAAGTAAATTAATTAGATTAAATAAGTAAATTAATTAGATTAAATAATTAGATTAATTATTATGAAATTTTATGATAAAGCGATCTTTAGATGCAACCTTTCGAAGAATCTTCAATTTTTCAGAGCTGGGGGTGCGTATAAATTAACTAATAATGATTTTGCGCGAAGAAGATTGAGTTGAAGAAGCTTGAAATTACGTATTGACGTTTTTAATTAAATTTAATTACAATTAATTAAGCGATGAAACTATCGGATAAATTACTTCAGAATTAAGGGGAAAAATCGAATATTGCACGCTAATCTGGTGGGTATCAATACGTTTTTTTTACTTCTTTACTATACCTAACATCATAAAGGGCGCCCGTAACTTATGCGCTAATTAATAGCGCACAAAAATGTTTGAAAAAATTTCTCCAAACTAAAAAACTAAAAAGTAAGCGATACGCTGCGAAAATGTGTCACTTGGTTTCTACCAAAGTAATTTTAATTTCTTATGTGTAAATTTACAGAGAGGCGCATAATTGCTAATAGGCACTAATTGGAATTTTTAAAATGGGAACGTGAAACGTGAGTGCGTCCACAGTAATTGATAGTTGAGGTATCTAAAAACTTCCGGCTCACATTAAGAATCAGAAGTTTGGATTAAAAATGGCGCATAACGCACAAAAAGGTATTTGGAAAAAATAAATTCTTGGACGCACTTCGTTTCCACAAAAATAATTTAATCGGGCGAAGCAGTCGTAACAATCACCGCAAACTTTGGAAGTGGAGCAAACGAGAAACCGAAGGGTCGAGCGCGAGCAATTTAACCCCTTTCGCACAGCCAGAGACATCTGTAGTAGAAGGGCCGCGTCCGAAAGCGAAATTTCAACCCTTTTTATATGCGGGCCGCCGCGCCGTTCGAAAAAACCGCGGCGATCGCTCGACTCGCGTAAATCTTAAGGGCGCGATCGAGATCGCACGCGTTGGCCGAGGAAAAAAAATGGGCCGGTCATCGGGGGTGGGATTTAGAAAAAAAATAAGATCGGGGGTTGGGTGAGCGCGCGAAGGAAAAAAATATTGTGGTAGGGGCGAGCTAGGGGAAAGAAAAAATGAGTCATCCCGCACGATTTTTTTCGACGGGGGTTCGTCCGTTTACCGCGACGGACGCGTGGAAAAAAAGCTCGCCAAGAAAATCGCGCGTATACTATTTGCGATAACTTCCCCTCGATAAGGGTGGGGATGAAGAAAAAAATAACAAGTTGTAATTTTTTCCGCAAGAGTAGAGGGGAGAACTCCGCGAGTTCACTCCTTAAACTTCCCGAAAAAAGCGCATGCGCCACCCTAAGATACAATTCTAAGGTTGTGCTTTCCTTGCTTTTCATATTAGACTTGTATAAAACTATCTCAGTTGCAACCCTTGCTGACGCGCTCCGTCCCTGTTTGATACGTCGTTCTTGCATATATGCGTCTCGCTCGTTCCTTGTCGATGTTTTGCAGCGTTCTCGCTTTGGCACATTGTACTTGTATATGTTAAATCTTCTCTGCTATGTTTCTACCCTTATTTTCAAGAGTTTAAAGGCGTCGTTTTCAGACGCTGGTCGTCTTTTCGCGACGCCGACGATTTTCTTAGTTATCAACCGACTTTCTTATCGTTTAGACGCATCGCGACGACACTTTTGGGGGTGAAAGCGCGAAGTCCAAGCTATAAGATAAATTTCTTACAAGTTTTTTCTTGTAAACGGGGGTGCTCGGTCGCGACGTTTACGCCGAGTGTGTGCAATCTGTAGGCCTTTTAGTGCAATTTCTTAGAGTTTGTGAGTATTTTTGCATGTCTTTGAAATTCAAAATGCGACAGTGGCGTACTGTCCCCTTTGATACACACACGTGACACACGTGACAACACCAAAGTTTCCCCAAATTTGCCTTGACCATTACTTGTTAATTTTGATGCGTACGGAAGCGATTCAAGTTGTTGTTTTTGTTGTGTTTCAGATCAGTACTGAAACGTTAAGTACAATAGCGGACCTTAAAAAGGGTAAAACAAATTAAGAAAACAGCTGTCGTGTAAAAAAAAAGGAAGAGTGAGACGGAATATCGCCCCTTTTAACACTACAACTAAAACGTGGTTCCTCCTTAGTATTAATCTAGTCGTCTGATGAAACAAAACATAGTCGACGAGGCCTACTTTGATTTAGTGCAATATTGACGACAGCGTTTTTTAGCGAAAAAAAAACAAAATCCTGTAAAGTACAAACGCGTGCACGAGACGCTGCACGAAAATAGCCGCCGCAAGAATCGGCCGAAATTCCCTTTGAGTGACCGAAAATCGTAAAAATTTTCACCACGGAGGACCAAACGTTATTAAACAACATTAAAGTCGAACATGAAAATCTCGTAGCAAAGTGGCTACAAAACTCATTCAAAATTCAAGAGAACGCCGCACTAGACTTGCGAGCGACTCCGTTAAGCTTACAAATACCATCGATGACGGACGTCAAAAATCGGCCGGTCTTCAACATGACCAACGATTTCTGGAACCAGGCGCGCGGACCTCCCCAAAGCATGGCCCAAAATTTGTCGAATTCGAATCAAAATTCGCCGGTACCCGGCTCGACAAACTCGATACCGGCACACTCGCCATCGCAGCAAAGCAACAACAGCAGCCAAAATCACGTCATCACCCAAGGAGCGCTGGCACTACAGCAGGCCCACGCTCAGCAACAACAACAGCAGCAGCAGCACACGCAAATGCAGCCGCAAACAGTCCAGACACCAAACCAAAACTCGCTCGCGCCAACACAAAACAACTCGCAACCTCAGCAACAACAGCAACCGCCGACGAACAACCAGCAACAGCAGCAGCAACAGCAGCAAATGGGCAGCCCGCCACCGCACACCCAGCAGGCACACGCCCACGCGCTAGCCCAGCAGCAGCTCGCCCAGCAAATGTCCCAGCAGCAGCAACATCTGCAAAACGCGCATACGGCGGACAACAAGATGAGCGAGAAGTTCGTTAACGAATTACAGGTATGTACCAATTCGAATTGAATTGCATGTGCATGTCGTCTCCCCCCCAAATTCTGACGGAATTCTTCCATCGACTGAATTCACGTATAGTCAAACCGGAATTTATGAAAGTGTCAATTCCGGAAAACTCGTTTGAATTCCGCCTAAATTCGCGACTGTTTGTATGCAAGTATCATGAAATTAGGAACCGGAATTTTCGGACATTAAAATGATCCAATTTAACGTTTACGAAGTGCAGTGTCCATTCTCGTTCAAATTGACGGAATAATTTCCGCCGCATTAAAGAGAAACCGGAATATGTGAAAGTTAGAATTTTCCAAATGCGCTCGAGTTCGTCGTAGAGTAAAACTGTGAAAACCGGAATTTACTGACGTCAATTTGTTACAAGCCCATACCGAACAATCTTCAATTGATTCCATCAATTCGTTCATAGAAAACCTAACTGAAATTTCTGAAATTCAGAAGAGCATAACAAATAAATTTAAATTCACCCAGAATTACGTTAAATTCACAATTTTTTGCATGCGGTATGACATGGATTAAGAACCGAAATTCATGGACGTTAAAATGATCGAATATGATGTATAATCGTGTGCTGTTATTCAAAGGTAAATAAAATTCAGCCGACTTTGGGATTAGCTTTCAGCAATAAACGTAATTTGAATGAAACCGGATTCATTTGTGGTCAAACCGGAATTTAAGAAAGGACCAACCCCTATTTGTTTAGCAATTATACAATAAGAAATCATATTAGTGTTGTTTAATTCATTGAATTCCGCTACAAATTGGCTAAATTCTCGGTCAATAATATCATGAGAATTACGAACCGGAATTTGCAAGAATAAAATTTGAATACTAAATCAGAATTAAGTAAAATTGACAAAGGAAAAATTTGAATAAGAACCGGTCAAATTCGGAGAAATAATCTAATATGAAATGTAGAAGAAGCTTGATGTCAAATTCTTAACAATCTTATTCCGCCCATTTAATAGAATTTTCCAGATTCATTTAAAGTTCGCCGACATTTCACTAAATTTACAATTTCCCCTACAGGAATCTCAAACAAAATTTACAGAATTCAAAATTGTCTCTCGACAATAAACGAAATTTAACCGAAAACCGGAATTTTCTGTTAAAATTTACACAAACTGTGAAATGCGTGTGAATTTTGGAGCTCTTCTTCAGTAGGAGAATTGCACTCTGCGATGACGAAATTTCATGTGAAAGTGAAATTTACTCTTTAGACCCGAATTTATGGTTGTACAATTTCCCCAAATTTGTTTGTTCGCTGAATTCAGAATTCACTTTTGGTGAAAGGACGCACGAAACTCAAATTTCGCCACCACATTCAAGGCAAATCGGAATGTGAATTTGGCGCAACCGGAATTTATTTTTGTCAAAATTTGTAATTTAGAATGACGATTGAAATGTTAGAATTTTCCCCAATTTTGAATTCCGGAATTTGTACGAATTTTAAAGTACAAGCACGTACCAAGCAAACTTTATTTTGGTTCAAATTCGCCTTGATCAAAGTTTTCCGTACATACTAAAATTCGTCTGAAATTCATAGAAAAATTTGCTAATTCGGCGATTAAATGTGTTGGCCATTCCTGACTCCCAAAATATTCTTGAATTCTGCCATACCGAAATTTGTCAAATTCTGGATGAAGTCGATTATTTAATTAAAAAAATTGAATTCTGGTTCAATTCTTCGTTAGTAATAGAATAAAACTTTAAGCGAAACTTATGGGTAATGCAAGCGACTTCTTATTTGATACACTTCGTATTCAGTTGAAGTCAAACCGGAATTTACGAAGGCAAATTTCGGATTGCCGGATTAATTTAAATTCCAAGAGATTCGTTAAATCTGTACAATAAGCTTCAAAAGCGAAAAATTTCTCCGAATCGTTTCTTCCGAATTATTGAATCCATTTGATTTGAAGGTTGAAACCGGAACTAGGTCACTTAACAGATATGAAATTGCGTAAATAGGACTAGAAGATTAACTTGAATTTCGGTAAATGCCAAATTCCTTAAAATTCCTTTAGTAACAATTTCTGGATAAAACCGGAATTTGTGTAAATTTCGCAAAATTTTGATTTCACTAGTAGAACTCGGAAAATTTACTTGTAACTCCCACATTCTAAATTGAGAATTCCGGTAATGATTCGGACCTCCGAAACTTTCAATTCAAGTTCGAATTCGTCAAAATATTTGTTAATGACCGCAGCATCACTTAATTAAGCGGTATATTTTAATTAAAGATTTAGCAGAGACTCCAAAGTTTCTACAGAATCAAGTTTTTTTGTAGCGTCATCAAATTAAATTAATATATATTTCGGACAGATTTCAATCCGTTTGCGTTTTTCTAACAAAGTTACAATTTAATTCGGTAATTTTACTAAAAATTCAGATAAATTTGGGCGTCTGTCTTTGCTGACGGAATTTTCAAACCCGAAATCAAATTAAGCTGACGACCGAAACCGAATTTTGAACATTTAAATTGAGTTAATTTCATTGTGTCTTAAATACAAACCTCGAAATCTGAAATTACAAGTAGGGAATGCAATACCGGGATTGCGGGATCCCGAAATAGGTACCGGGATCCCGCAGCGTTTTTGGGAGATTAATCCCGCACATAAATGGAGCGGGATCCCGCGGGATTTGCGGGACTGAGGAATTTGTCGGGCAAGGGGACGACTCTGTTTACTTTGTTAATGAAACTGATAACGGCGAATTATTTTTTAAATAATTGTTAAACTTTTTTCGTTAAAAATGTACTATGATTTTTGAGGCACTTTAGAAGACTTTTTGTGCTTTACAGGTAAGGTTTTTTTGAGTTCTAAGTTAGGCCGAAGGTACTTTTTTGTTAAATATTGTGATAATTAGCGATTTATTTTAATACAGAAATTAACCGCACAGAATTGCTTATTTGGCAATTTATTTAAAGTTTTGCGAGATCCCGCAAATACCGGGATCCCGCGGGATTAACATCTAACAATCCCGCAAATACCGGGATTGAGATTTTGCTGCGGGATTGCATTCCCTACTAGAAACCAATTTCGAAAGAAAATTCAAATGGCTGTAACTTTTGAACTAGTAGCCCAATCTTGGAACTGTTTGAAATTATGGATTCTACAGGCCACATTCTACAAGAAAAATTTTTTTCCGCGTCCATCTGAGACAATTTTTTTTGAGGGCCTCAAAAAAAGGCAGTGTATAACCTTCCTTTTTTACCAAAAATCGACTGCACCAAAATTTCTCGGGAAAACACTTTTTCTTATTAATTTTGGTGCGTAGAATCCAAAACAATTCGTACTTTTTCGATCAGACTTCTCAATCAAAAGTTGTAGACTAGTTTACAAGATTCCTAATCGGCCGATCAAACCAAAATCTCAGAGTGTTTTGTAATTCAAACCAATTGACGAAACTCAATCGTGACATACCGGAATTTGTTAGAGTAGGTTACAGTTGTAATGGAATGAAACCATAATTACGGAATATTCGGGAATCAATTCAATCCTATTGTGTCATTATTCCAGACAGAGAATTTTCGGATTATGAAATAGAAATTCCGTCAAATTCTTGAATTCAAACCGGGTTCGTGACATCTAAATTTAATTTTCATTTCCCGAAATCGATTAATCAAGTAAAAAAATCAAACAAATTAGAGAAATTAATTTCTGTTAAAGTTTTAATTTAAACCTATTCTTGAAAGTAGGCGAAATTCAATTTGTCAAAATCCGACCAGGATTTTAATCGGCCGGAATTAACGATCTAAGAAAATTGAACTGAATTGGCGAGATTCATTTCTATTAATTTTAATGTAAAAACGCATCGGAGAAATTCAATGGTAACGAACCGGAATTTCAGGGTTTTAATCGTGATAGATCAAATGATCCTGCGATTAACGAAAATTTAAAGGAATTGGCGAATTTCGTTTGTTTTAATTTTAATGTCGGCTGATTCCTGAATTAAGGCGAAATTTGATTATAACGTACCGGAATTTGTCAAAAATCTGCTAACGCTTTAGTCGGCCGAAATCAAAATAATATGATCCAATCAAAGAAAATTCAAGTGGATTGATGAGTTTCATTTCTGTTAGAGTAGTAATTGAAGCGAATATTCCTTAATTTAAGCGAAAATCGGTCGTAACGTACCGAAATTTGTCAAAATCCGGACACGGTTATCAAATGATCATGACAAGAAAATTCAAACGAAATTTGCTGTTTTAATTATAATAGTCGGTTGACTAAAAATATTTCTGAATTTCGGCAAAATTCAATCGTTTTGTATCGGAATTTGACAAAATCCAATCAGGATTTTAATTGGGTCAAATCAAATGATTAAAAAAGATAGAAAATTCGAGTGAAAATATTCCGTGTGATTCATGAACATTCGAACGAATGGGCGAAATTCAATCCTGTTTTAATTTTAATGTCGATGTCGGTTGATTAAAAAATAATTCAGAACATTCCTGATTTTAGGCAAAATTCAATCGTAACGTACCGAAATTTATTCAAATCCGCTCACAGTTTTAATCGAGCTAGATCGAAAGATCGTGCGATTCAAGAAAATTCAAACGAATGGTCGAAATTCAATCCTGTTTCAATTTTAATGTGAGCGAATTAGAAACTATTTGAAAACGTTTGAAGACATTCCTGATTTTAGGCAAAATTATTGAATCGTAATATACCGGAATTTGTTAAAATCCGCTTAGGGTTTTAATCTAGCTAAATCGAATGAACGTGCGATTTAAGAAAATTCAATCGAATGGTCGAAATTCAATCCCGTCTTAATTTTAATGTCGGCTGATTAAAATTTATTTCAAAACATTCCTGATTTTAGGAAAATTCAATCGTGATGTACCGGTATTTGTTAACATCCGCTCAGGGTTTTAATCGAGCTAGATCGAATGATCGTGCGATTAAATGAATTTGAAACGAATGGTCGAAATTCAATCCTGTTTGAATTTTAAAGTCGGTTGACAAAAAATATTTCAAAATATTCCTGAATTTCGATGAAATTCAATCATAATGTACCGGAGATTGTTGAAATCCGGTCAGAGTTTTAATCGAGCTAGATTGAATGATCGTGTGATTCAAGAAAATTCAAACGAATGGTCGAAATTCAATCTTATTTTAATTTTAATGGCGAAAGTCAATCATGACGTACCGGAATTTGTTCAAATCTGCTCAGGGTTTTATTTAATGATAGTGAGATTCAAGAAAATTCAAAGGAATGGTCGAAATTCAATCCTTTTTTCATGTCAATGTCGGCCGATTAAAAAATATTTAGAAACATTCCTGATTTTATGCAAAATTCAATTGTAACGTACCGAATTTGTTAAAAACCGCTCAAGCTAAATCAAATGATCGCGCGATTCAAGAAAATTCAAACGAATGGTCGAAATTCAAACCTCTTTTAATTTTAATGCGGGCGTATTCAAAACAATTTGAAAACGTTTGAAAATTTTCCTGATTTTAGGCAAAATTCAATCGTAACGTGCCGGAATTTTTCAAAACCCGGCCAGGGTTTTAATTGAGCTAGATCTAATGATTGTACAATTCAAGAAAATTCAAACGAATTGATGAAATTCATTCCTGTTTTAATTTTAATGTCGGCCGATAAAAAAATATTTCACAAATATTCCTGAATTTAGACGAAATTCAATCGTGACCGACCGGAATTTGTCAAAACTCGGCTAGGATTTTAATCCATCTAAAGTACATGAGCAAATGATTTAAGAAAATTGCTCCCTTTTAGGGTTTTAATTGTCGAATTGGCTGACTGAAACATATTTCAAAATATTGGCACAAATTCAATCATGTCGTACCGGAATTTGACAAACTGGATGTTAATTGAGCGAAATCTAATAAACAAACGATCCCAGAAAACTCGAGGGAATTGGCGAAGTTCCTTCCTTTGAGCAAATCGGCTGAGTAAAAAGTATTTAAAAACGTTCCTGATTTTAGGCAAAATTCAATCGTAACGTACCGGAATTTTTGCAAAATCCGGTCCTGGTTTCAATCTAGCTAGAAAATTTAGACGAATTGTGGGACATTCAAAAAAATTCAAGCTGTCATGCGGTCCTCTCAAGCGCTTTTGAAATTGGGCTTTAGGGCGAGTTACCCTAAAACCGGAATTTTTGAATGTTTTGGAACGAAACTTACACCAAATTCCGGAAAAGAATTCCGGTCTATTTAATTACTATGTAGTTTGCATGAGTGTGGTGATTTTGTGCTTTAAACTGTATACTAAACTATTGCTTTCTAAATAACGCTGCCGGATTTCAATCAACTGCAGAGGAACTCGACCTCTACGATATCGGAGCGCACTCTGGAAGAATGTTGGACGACTCTCCAGCGAGTGAGTTGGCTTCTATTCAACCGTGTAGCGTATCTCTTCCAAAATTGTTTCCTCAACCCTAAAATCCCTTCTTACTCGTAATGCATGCGATTTGTTTGCACTTTCTCTGTAATTATGACAATAACTGGGGTATTGGGGTAAAAATTGTCATAAAAAGGGTAAGTATCTTTCTTTTAACGTCACACACGTACGACAACACAAAATACGAATGGTCTCTCGCCCCTAAAACCAATACTTATTGACACCCTACTTTTTCACACCCCAATCCAAGCAATTTTAACTCTTATGAATACGTATTTATATTGCAAAAAAAAACGCCTCAACGTGAAAGCGATGGTGGTCGCGCACTCATTAGAACTTTTTGTTCAATCAAAAAATTAGACGCAAAAAAGGAGCTTAGCGATTTGAAAAATTAATCTCGCCCTCTTTATTTGCACAAAAAGGGAATTAAAACGTATCGAAGCGAGCGCTAATCTCATTTTTTATTTCGACTCGGAAAAATCTTAAATTTTGAGGATACAAAAAGCGTTTTCACGTGTTGATTTGTAGATTTAGAAGGGGTGAAATATGGCCGGAACCGGATGTAAGACGCGGGGGGGCGCGCGCCCCCCCGAAAACCACTTACTCCTATTTATTTGAACAGAAAATGCGACGCTTCTTCCTTTTTTTCCCTAACCTTTCGCTTAATTTTGACGTGCGCGTCCAAAGAAAATTATATTACGAATACAATCACACACGAACGACAGTGCATGAATAATTAAAACTATTATATTTTTAATGAGGCAACTACTAGCAATTACGTAGTATCTGCGAGTAATCTATATAAATTATGCATATGCTCTTAATTAAATTGCAAACATCGATCGAGCGTTTTCACGTGCAATCCGCTCGTAATTTCGATCAGGTTAGCCTAATTAGGGCGGCAATTCGGTAATTTACCTATTAATGAAACCGAATTTTTTCCCTACAATAGCAAAGTTTCGTTAATTAAATGAGATTATGTAATTATCAACCCAAGTTCGACAATTTAACTTTCTTTTATTCATATGAAATTAGGGTTAATTAATTGAATGGCAGTTACAATAGCCAAATTTCGTCAATTAAATTAGAGTAACACCTCACAATTTAATTTTTTAATTACTAATTACGAATTTTTGATAATCAAGAAACAGTTACTTAATTATTCAATCATCTAAGTATACATGTCAATTATAAATTAACCGTTTAATTGTATGAAATTGTCACTTAAGTAATTGTGGTTTTTTAACTCTCCATAAAAAGTAATTTAATTTAATTGCGTATCCGTAATTACATCTTAAATTATATAGCCAACGAAAAAGAATTACACAAATATATTTAATTACCTGAAATTCAACAAATTAATTATTTACGTCAGGTAATATCGAATGATAGGTGCTGATTCACACCTCCCATTGTTTCTCAATCTCTCGCAATTAAAATAATCAAAATTAAGAAAATCATTTTCAACTTCATAATTTTAATTCAATTACTTATCGATGACACAAAATTTTTGAAAGAAACTTAATTACGCGAAGTTTATGAATTAAATTGTACCAAATTTGCGAAATTAGATTTTAATTGATTTAAGAAACATTATATTTAATTCGCCCTAATTTCCATGATTAAATTAAATTATTTAATGGAAAATGGAATTTCATATTTATTATTACGTGTGGATTTGGAAACCGATTATCGGCTTTGCAATTAACTTGATTAATTGTCGAGATTAAAAAAAGATTACTTGGAAACTAAATCAAAAAACTAATTAGCTACTACGCATATTAATTACTTTTAATAATTAGCATTTAATTGTAAATTTCGTTAATTGTTAATTCGGCCAATTAAAATTGATTACGTAATTAGCGCTATTCTGCTAAGCAAATAATTCTTCTGTATTAATTATAATTAAATTGTTCGTAATTAGAGATAAACAATTGGTATCAAAGTTGTGATTGCATTTGCAACGTGGTAGTTGGCCCTAATTAAATTTGAAAACAAAAACATGTCCGATAATTGCCGTGCTCGTTTGAATTAACTCGCTTGTAATTAGAGGCGATCTAAAGGATAATGAAGTAATTGGGTTGTCGAACTTTAGTAATTAATTAAGAACCTCTGATTTTTTTAAAATTTCAAGCGACGAAAAGCGATAAATAGTGAGATAAATAGTCCAAATTTGCTCACTAGGTCACCAGGTGTAACCACCAGATTTTAAATGACCAAAGGGAAATGTTGTTGATAAAATAATGAAATAATTAGGATATGTTTCGTCGAAATTTGATTATTAGTTAAGACCCTAAGATTTTCCTTAATTATAATCAACGAAAAGGTCATTTTTTAATAAATGATCAGATAATTAGGGTGTCACGTCAAAGATTGGTCAGCAGGTGTTTCTTAATTTTAATTGGCCAAATGATACCTTTTTGATATCTAGTGAAATACGGGGGAGGTGTGCTTATCCAGACCCAGGCCCCCCGGTGTAATTTTCCCCCTCCAAACGCTTGCCGCTTTTTTGAAAAATTAGCGGAACCTCTTCTGCATAGAGTTATTGCAAAAAACATAGTACCGGGGGTAGGGTTCCGTACGGGGAGATTTTTGGGAATCATTCGGTGCTGAGCTACGGAGAACCGTAGAATTCCTAGTAAACACGCTTTCTGGAAATGACAATGCAATCATGGTATACTGGGGAGTATTGTATACCACTCAAACCCTCGGCATCACTTTTCCCACAAACATATTTGTCCTGAAGGACTCTCAAATTTTTGGGAAAATTGTCGGTTCCTCTTCTGGGGATACTCCCCAACAGGGGCGTTTAGGTCTTAGCAGAGAGAATCCTCGGCAAAGGAGCTCCCTCTAACACTCGGGACTACTATGGGGCCTTTCGGAATATCAGAATGGAGAATGGAACCACTGTATGAGGGGAGGGGGAGTATGAACCCCCGGTATCACTTTCCCCCACAAAAGGTTTTACTCTTAGGACTTTTTGTTTAATGATCGAATCCTCTTCTGCAAAGAAGTATTGCATAAAACATAGCACCGGGAGGTCTGTGGGGGTATGGAATATCCCCCCCCCCCCACAGCAAAGAGAGTATTCGGCAATAACACTTTTCGCTCTAAGTTCTATAATCATGGACGTTTTCTGGGGGGTCTGTGGGGTGCGAAATACTCCCCCAGATGACAGATCCTCGGTACTCTCGTGAGTTTTGGAAATGACAATGGGATCACTGGTATACTGGGAGATATTCCATGTCCCCCGGTGACACTGTCCCACACAAAACGTCCTCAGGACTCTCATAGTAGTTTTTAGGAAAATTGCCTCATTCACCTCTTGTTCTGTGACCGTCTTCTTCTTTTTTATTAGTTTTCCTAGGAATTCTTTTCCGCCCCTTTCCTTTTACTTATCATCTTTCTGTTCTCTTTTACTCACATTTTTCTCGTATGGTTTGATTCTCCATTTCGGTATCTTTTTACTTATCTTTTCTTCGCTTTCAAATAATTTTGCTTTTAACTTCCCCTTTCTTCTCACCTCCTCAAAAATCTCCTCCTCGCTTCCTTCCTTTCTTTTCTACTCGTCTCGTTCTTCCTTCGCCCCTCGTGAGTTTCTTCTTGTTATATACTCCCAAACATTTTAGGGAGGATTCTACATGGCATTCCAAAGCTTCTTATTATAGTTGAAATTTTCAAATTTCTACAGTGCGCATCCCGAACTGGAATTTTTACCATTATTGAAATTCTTGCATTTTTAACACCTAAAGTACGTTAAAGGTCTCGTTTATTTTTATACTGTTCTTGTTTCATTACTATTTCCGGTGCACCTTAAAGGTCTTGAAAGGTTCTTTAAGACAGTAGACAGTTTTTATGATTGTTGGCATTTTAGAACACCTGAAATGGGCCATTTTGATGAATAATGTGTTACGTCGAAATTTGGCTAATGACCACTAGATTTTTCTTAGTTTGTAATTGACCGAAAGGATACCTTTTTCATAAATAATGAGATAATGAGCTCTCGTGCGGTTCGAATTCTTCATATTTGTGACGAAAGGCTTTTTTGGGGAGTCGTGTTTCTGACGTGTTTTCGACGACACTTTAGTGTATGGAATGTGCAAATTTACGTCATTAAAGTTTGCAAATTCTTCTCGGGGCGAACGTAAACGATTGCTTTGCCAGGGATGTTTTTCGTAGGGATATCCCGCAGGATGCGCAAATGATTGGGATAATAAAAACAGAAACCTTCTAAAAACAGGACGTTAAGCTTCAAGCATCTACCTATAAAGTAATATCTAAAAATACAACCGTAACATAAAATTAGGTGTATATCGAGCGTTTAGCCTTTTACGTGGTACGAGATGGCACAGCGTGCGTATATGAAAACTTATAAAATTGTGTTCCTCTAAAATGCATGGCATCCCCGTTTCTCTCGCACACACGGCCCGCCGGTTTTTTCCTTCTACTTTCCCTATAAATACATCCCGTACGCACAATGCGTGAACGGAATGGTTTTCCAGATAGTATCTCCCGATTTTTTATCGCTTTTCAATATGGAAACACGACCGTCGCCCCCCCCCCCCCGCGCGCACAAACAGGTTTATCAAACGGTCGCGTAGTACCTACTTACTCGAAATTAATTAAAAAAAGATTCACACGGAACTGAATAGAAACAAAAAAAAAAATTTGTGCGTATCATAATGATATGCATATCATTCGAGCTACCCTTCTTTCTTCTCGGAAGGGTCGAGGAGAGGTCCCGCTGTTCGGCGATTGTTTCAAGCAAAAAATTAACCCCAAATTATTTTAATATGCAAATCAGTTTCGCGTCGAAAAAGAATAACACCTTTTCGTTAAGTATTTAAGAATGAGCTTAAACAAAAGGCCACCAGATAGTTGGGAGGTGCGCGCCGTTTCTGTCGCATGAGGAAGTTGCATTCGGATGCTTCTCACGAAGGATAAAAAATCGCCTCCTCTTGCAAAGCGTTTTGTTAGAC